ATAGGAAGACACAGGACACACAGATGTGAATGGACGTTGAACTTAACGACAAGATACAAATTACACAATATAAATACCTAAGTGGTTGTACATAAGTAGCTACTGAACAAGTAGATAGGAAATTAATTCAGGAGATTTTGCAACACAACTTGTGGGGGTTAGGGAGGGGAGTGCTGGGATTCAGTCAACCTTTAATATTACATTTAACACTTTGTAATTGAGTGTTGTTTATTTTGATGTATGAAACCACCAAAATAATATCACCTCCAGGTTTTCTTTTGCCCATATGGAGGAAATTTAACTTGGTAAGAAAATGTCTCTTTTCCTTCCTCCTTTCCTCCTCATCCTTTCTTCCTCCCTCCCTTCCTTCCTTCTTTCCTTCCTCTTTTCCTTCCTAATCTGAGTATATGTAGAAGGGCATTCTGGCCATTAGTTGTTCCTGAATGTATATCGTTCCTGGATTATAGGCTGTTCACAGGTATTCATGCAGCTTGCACATGTGTAACTATAATCATTAGGCCCTTGGGAAATACACCACATAAGATGGTGGTGTGAGACAGATATTCTTTTCTCCTCTATTGGGGTGTGTGTTTGTATTATTTATGAGGATAGACTGCTTCTGCGTTTCAAAACATCAGAGGTATTTTAGGTATTGTAGATACTTTATGTAATATTTCAAAACATGACCAATGGCCAAGGAAAGTATTCCCTGTTATGATATTACTGCTTAACAGTAAACCACTAACAGTCTCTCCAAATCCCTGGGTGGTACTAGGAATAAGTCAGCACACCTGAGCTATGGGGAGCACATTTAGATGGAGTTACATCAGATTTCAGTCCCTTGTTTCTCACTGACTCTAAGGGGAGGCAATAGAAAAATATTGCTTTTCAGTGGGTCATTTAGAGTCCTCAGGGTGGGTTTTCCCTCACCTGTGCGAGAATATAAATTAGTCACAGGAATGCCCTGAATAACTGTCGGTTAGACTAGTTTCTTCTGGGGGAATCTCATGCTAGCTGCGCAGTACAAGCTCCAGAGTAGGTGAATGAAAACACCTTGAGGAAGACCACTATTTCTTTCTCATATGCAATTATTCCATAGCTGTAGGAGAGTGCTCTGCATACAGTAAGGGTCTATCAAACGTGCCCTTAAGAATAACTGTGTTAGCTTTTCAAAAGACAGTTACCAAGACTATGTGACTTGTACCTTTCTGTATTTTTTTTCTCCCCAAACAAAATTCACTAGTAAAACTATTACCTAGCAAAAGTCTCAACAGAAGCCTAATGCACAGTGCAGTCCATTTAGCTGCTGGAGGTGTGAACCTCTCTCAATGCATGTTAGAGACTTGGGAAGGTACCATCTCATTGCTGTTTTTTAACATTGTTATTGTTGTTGGTGGTGTAGAATTTCTGTTAGTACCTTGGTTTAAGTCCACTTGGCAATGATGGCAGTGTTTCTCTTTTATACTGTGAATTCCTATGAACACTTATTATCTAGCTAATTTGATTATAATTCACAGCAAATACTCTAAGTAGAATGATGGTTTAATAATAATAATAGAACTCTGTGTTGTAAGAATGTTAAATAGTTCGCAATATATTTGTACTAGCCTTAGGAGAAAAGAATTTGGGGAGTCAGAAATAAAAAAAAAAAAGGAAAGAAGAGGCTGAAATTTCAACGGAAGTCACCCAAGATGATCAGTTCACACTGTGGTGGGAGCTAGTTTTAACTGTCTATATGACTACTAGGAACCTTGGTGGCCCAATGGTTAAGAGTGTGGCTACTCACCAAAAGATTAGCAGTTCTAATCCACCAGCTGCGCCTTGGGAACCCTATGGGGCAGTTCTACTCTGTCCTATAGGGACGCTATGAGTCAGAGACTTGTTGGCAACGGATTTTTGTTTTTTTTTTTTTTAAATGACTATTAAGGAAGATGCAGGAAAAGGGAAAAGCCTGAGTTTTGGAATCAAAGATCTCTGTCCTAGTCCCAGTGAACAGTACAATTTAGGGGAAATTACAGAATATCTCTATGCCTCAGTTTTCTTTAAAAAAATTTTTTTTTTAACTTTCTTAGTCACAACACAACCATTTTACTGAGTTTATTCTTTTCCTAGCACTAAAGTAACTAGTTAAGTGACCCTGTGCAAGTCTCAGCATTAGGGAGCCCCAGTGGTGCAGTGGTTAAGAGCTTGGCTGCTAACCAAAAGGTCAGCAGTTCAAATCTACCAGCCGCTCTTTGGATAACCCTATGGGGCAGTTCTACTCTGTCCTGTAGGGTCACTGTTGAGTCAGAATTGACTTGATGGCAATGGATTTGGTTTGGTTTTAGTTTATTAACAGAGCAATCTCTTTAATTGCTTGTTGTGCTCATCTATGGGATGACACATCTCAGAAACCTCAAAGGTAGAAAAATATAGTTGAAAGATGAATAGGTTATTTAGTTCTAACTCATTGGAAATGAAGCAAGCCAAGCCTAGCACTTCTAGAATTTCTTGATTCACAGAAGCATTAAAGCTCTTTATGTGATTTAAAAATAAAGCTGCCAAGCAGAAATGTTTGCATTCTAGACAAATAAAAAAGTACTAACTGGCCTTTTCTTGGCAGATTACTGGCTGTGATATGGAGATAAGAAGCTTGACTACAGATATTGTATCTGTAGTTGTGATCACCTCATTATGAAGATTACATGACATGATATGATTGATCATAAAAAATGTTATCGGGTATATCTTCCATACTTTGTTGAACTGCATAAAAAGATATGGACATTTTTCCTTTCCTATGCAAACCACAATGAATAATCTTTGCATGCCAAGACAGATCTTAAAAGGTCAACCATTTTTAACCGTTCATGCAGAAGAGTATCTCCAGTTGCTATCAAAGTGGAAAACATTTTAATTCTCCCTTGCTTCACAAATAAAAATAGTCATCACAGGACTGAGAAAAGGTATCAACAATTTCTGGTAAATGTTTTACAAAAAAAAAAAAAGATGTGAGATGTGAAATTATCAGGGTAATACTGACAGCACCTGCTTGGGCTTTCTGAAAGAAATTTGCAAGTTACTATTGTAAAACTTCTTTGTCTAGATTTATTGTAAATAACATCTTTGGTTAGATACAATTTATAGTTTTCCGTGCGCTCATCTCTCGTGATGTACTTTTTCTCTTCTTCTTTTTTTTCATAATTTTATTGGCCCTAAAAAAGACGTTTACATTTTGTCGGAAGTTGTTGAGATTAAAGTTTGTGGCTTTTTAACGTATACAATGTTAGCATTATTCTTTGTTCACTGAACATCTACAGCTCTCTTTATGACAGGCTGTCAGGAAATATGTCTCCGAAAAGGCAGGTTAGCTCCTCAGAGACAATCAGCGATGCACTTCTCAGTGATGTGCTACACGCCACCAGAGTGCACCTGACTATTCCTGTGATGTCTGAACTATTTGTTTGCTCTGCCATAAGATAGCATTAGCAGATGTAATAGGAACAGATCACTCATTTGAGGAAATATTTATGGGAGTGCTTTCAAAGGACCATTGAATCCACAGTTAGAATTGATGAAGCATGTAGCAAGAACTGTTTCTGAACCCATGAGGGCTAAAATCTCTTCCTCCAAGGCAGTTAAAATGTGATAATTTAATGTATGCGTGACCAAAGATTACAAAACACTGGCTGTCATATTTGAGCATATTCCAGACAGTTGTATTTTCAGTAAAATAGAAGTAATCATCTTAAATTGAAAGGGCCAAGTGAAATTGCTTTAATTTAAGAGGAAGTCTTCTCTATTATATATTTTATGCTGCCCAGCAAGAAACGTCTTCATATCTAAAATCCACCTTCTTATACTTGACAAAGCTTTTTAACATTGTAGATATTGTTTCTCTGAGCAATACGTAAAATCACAACTCACAGTACTTCAATGCAACACATTTAAATGTGAAACTGAGCCAGTCTTACTCTTATAGGCCGCTGAGGATTTTTATATCAAAAAGAGATGAGCAATACTACCCAAAGTGATGTGTAGATTGAATGCAATCCCCATCAAAATTCCAACAGCCTTCTTTATAGAAACAGAAAAGCAAATCCTCAACTTTATATGGAACGGCAAGAGGCCCTGAATAGCTAAAACAATGTTGAAAGTGGGGAATGAAGTAGGAGGGGCTTATACTTCCTGATTTTAAAACTATATAGCCACAGTAATCAAAACAGCCTGGTACTGGCATAGCAATAGACACAGAGACCAATGAAATTGAATTGCGAGTCCAGAAATAAACCCATATATCTATGGTCAACTGATTTTGACAAGGGCACTAAGTCCATTTGATGGGGAAAAAAGAGTCTCTTCAATAAATGGTGCTGGGAAAATTGGATTTCCACAAGCAGAAAATGAAACAGGATCCATGCTTCACACCATACACACACACACAAAAATTCAAAATGGATTAAGGACCTAAATGTGCAAACTAAAACCATAAAATTCTTCGAAGAACAAGCAGGAGCAATGCTGTCAAGCCTAGCTTTCAACAATGAATTATCTAATATAATAACAAAAGCACAAACAGCAAAAGACAAAATAAATACATGGGACCTCATAAAAATTAAAAACTTCTGTTCATCAAAAGACTTTACCAATAAAGTGAAAAGACAAGCTACTGACTGGGAGAATAGCTTCAGAAACCATATATCCAACAAGAATCTAATAACAAAAATATATATAAAACTTCAACAATTTAATACCAAAAAGACAAATAACACAATCACAAAATGGAAAAAGGACTTGAATAGACATTTCACCAAGAGGACATTCAAATGGCCACCAAACACATGAAAAGATGCTCAGCATCATTAGCCATCAGAGAAATGCAAATAAAATCAAAATGAGATACCATTTCACTTCAACTAGGATGGCTGGCTTCTCCATTGTCTCTATCCACAGATGTAGTTGATCTGCTTCTTGTGTATTCCATCCAGTGAAGTCCACGTGTATTGTCACCGTTTGTGTTGTTTAAAAAAGGTATTTGCAGGGAAGAAGTCATTCATCTTGCAAAATTCTATCATGCCATTTCTGACATCATTTCTATCACCAAGGCCAGATTTTCCAACTACCAATCTTTTGTTTCCAACTGTTGCACTCCAATCACCAAAATTATCAATGCATCTTGATTGCATATTTGATCAATTTCAGTCTGCAAAACTTGGCAAAAACCTGTGGCAAGAGAAGATGGAGAACCTCAATATCATCAGTCAGAACAAGGTCAGGAGCCGACCGCAGAACAGACCATCAATTGCTCAAGTTCCAGTTGAAGCTGAAGAAAATTAAAACAAGTCCACGAGAGCCAAAATACGACTTTGCGCATATCTCACCTGAATTTAGAGACCATCTCAGGTATAGATTTTTCTTTTCATTTGATTGTGCTTTAGGTGAAAGTTTACAGTGCAAATTAGTTTCTCATTCAAAATTCTATACACAAATTGTTTTGTGACGTTAGTTTCAATCCTTGCAATGTGTCAGCACATCTCCCCCTTTCCCTTTACACCCTGAATTCTCCCTATCCATTTGTCCAGTTTTCCTGTCCCTTCCTGCCTTCTTGTCTTTGGTTTTGGGCAGGTGTTGCCCATTTGGTCTCATATACTTCATTGAACTATAGAAGCATGTTCCTCAAGTGTGTTATTGTTTGTTTTATAGACCTGTCCAAACTTTGGCTCAAAGATGGACTTCAAGAGTGGCTTCAGTTCTGAGATAGCAGTATATCTGGGGTCATAGTCTTGGGGATTCCTCCAGTCTCTGTCAAACCAGTAAGTCTGGTCTTTTCAAGAATAGATTTGATGCTCTGAACACTAATGATCGAAGACCAGACAAGTTGTGGGATGACATCAAGGACATCGAATATGAAAAAATCAAAGGTTATTAAAAAGACAGGAAAGAAAGAAAAGACCAAAATGGAAGTCAGAAGAGACTATGAAACTTGCTCTTGAACATAGAGTAGCTAAAGCAAATGGAAGAAATGATGACGCAAAATAGCGGAAGAGAAGATTCCAAAGGGCAGCTTGAGAAGACAAAATAAAGTATTATAATGACATATGCAAAGACCTGGAGGTATAAAACTAAAAGAGAAGAACATACTTGGCGTTTCTCAAGCTGAAAGAACTGGAAAAAAAAAATTCAAGTCTAGAGTTACAATATTGAAGGATTCTATGGGCAAAATATTGAACAACGCAGGAAACATCAAAGAAGATGGAAGGAATACACAGAAGCACTGTACCAAAAAGAACTGGTCAACATTCAACCATTTCAGGAAGTAGCATATGATCAAGAACCAATGGTATCAAAAGAAGAAGTCCAATCTGCACCACAGACATTGGTGAAAAATAAGTCTCCAGGAACTTACTGAATACCAATTAAGATGTTTCAACAAACATGCAGCACTGGAGGTGCTCACTTGCTATACCAAGAAATTTGGAAGACAGCTACCTGGCCAACCGACTAGAAGAGATCCATATTTGTGCCCATTCCAAAGAAATGTGATCCAATAGAATGTGGAAATTATCGAATAATATCATTAATATCACACACAAGTAAAATTTTCCTGAAGGTAATTCAAAAGCAGTCACAGCAGTACATCAACAGGGAACTGCCAGAAATTTAAGCCAGATTCAGAAAAGGGCACAAAATGAGAGATATCATTCCTGATGTCAGACAGATCTTGGCTGAGAGTAGAGAACACCAGAAAGATGTTTACTTGTGTTTTATTGACTATGCAAAGGCATACCTGTGTGTATCATAACAAATTATGGATAACATTGTGTGGAATGAGAATTCCAGAACACTTAATTGTGCTCATGAGGAACTTTTACATAGACCAAGAGGCAGTTGTTCAAACAGAACAAGGAGATATTGTGTGATTTACAATCAGGAAAAGTGTGCCTTGGGGTTGTATCCTTTCACTATACTTAATCAATCTGTATGCTGAGCAAATAATCTGAGAAGCTGGACTATATGAATAAGAATGGGTCATCAGGATTGGAGGAAGACTCATTAACAACCTGTGTTATGCAGATGACACAGTCTTGCTTGCTGAAAGCAAAGAGAGTGGAAGCACTTACTGATGAAGATCAAAAACTACAGTCTTCAGTATGGACTACACCTCAACATAAAGAAAACAAAAATCCTCACCACTGGACCAATAAGCAACATCAATATAAATGGAGAAAATATTGAAACTGTCAAGGATTTCATTTTACTTGGATCCACAATCAATGCCCATGGAAGCAGCGGTCAAGAAATCAAACCACGTATTGCATTGAGCAATTCTGCTGCAAAAGATACTAATAAAGTGTTGAAAAGCAAAGATGACACTCTGAGGACTAAGGTGCGCCAGACCCAAACCATGATATTTTCGATCACCTCATATGTATGCGGAGGCCTGGTGGCACAGTGGTTAAGAGTTTGGCTGCTAACCAAAAGGTCAGCAGTTCTAATCCACCAGCCAATCCCTTGAAACCCTATAGGACAGTTCTACTCTGTCCTATAGGGTCACTTGACATGACAGCAATGGGTTTGGTTTGGTTTTTCAGATGCATGTGAAAGCTGGACAATGAATAAGGAAGACCAAAGAAGAATTTATGGCTCTGAATTACGGTGTTGGGGAAGAATATCGAATATACCATGGACTATCAGAAGAACGAACAAATTTGTCTGGGAAGAAGTACAGCCAGAAAGCTCCTTAGAAGCAAGGATGGTGAGACTTTGTCTCATATACTTTGGACTTGTTATTAGGAGGGATCAGTCCCTGGAGAAGGACATCATGCTTGGTAAATTAGAAGGTCAGTGAAAGAGAGGAAGACCCTCAAGGAGATGGACTGACACAGTGGCTGCAACTATTGGCTCAAGCATAGTGACAATTGTGAGGACAGTGCAGGACCAGACAGTGTTTCGTTCTGTTGTATATAGGGTCACTATGTGTGGGAATGGATTCAACAGCACCTAACAACAAGAACAACAGGACGGCTAACGTAAAAAAAAAAAAAAAAAAAAAAACAGAAAATAACAAATGTTAGCGATGATGTGGGGAAATTGGAACCCCTATCCATTGCTGGTGGGAATGCAAAATGGTACAGTCATTGTGGAAAACAGTGTGGTGGTTCCCCAAAATATTAAAAATAAAACTAACATACGATACAGCAATTCCACTCCTAAGTACATACCCAAAAGACTTGAAAGCAGAGACTCAAAAAGAGGCTTGTATACCAGTGTTCATTGCAGCACTATTCACAACAGCCAGAAAGTTGGCATTTGCCCATCGATAGATGAAAAGATGAACAAAATATGGTACATACATACAAAGGAATACTACTTAGCCAATAGAATAAATGAAGTCTTGATACATGCTACAGTATGGATGGAGCTTGAAGACATTATGTTGAGTGAAATAAACCAATCACAAAAGGACAAATATTATATGACCTCACTTATATAAAAAGATAAGAAAAAGGCAAATGTATAGAGACCAAAGTTTATTAGTAGTTACCAGAGGCAGGTGAACCCTGGTGGCGCAGCGGTTAAGAGCTTGCTGCTAACCAAAGTCGACAGTTCAAATCCACCAGCCTTTCCTTGGAAACCCTATGGGACAAGTTCTGCCCTATCCTACAAAGTCACTATGAGTCAGAACCGACTTGACAACACCTATCAACAACAACAACAGGGGCAAGAGGGAGAGGGAAAAGAGGGGTTAATGGTGATGGAAAAATTGCATTGATTAAAGGTAAGTTTGCATAGCCAATCATTTTAATTGTTGTCAACAAGTTGTATACCTGTAAAAAGTTGAATTGGCAAAAGTTGTGTGATAGATACATTTCAAGAACAACAAAAAAATGTAGCTGCTGAGGCTGCTTATGTACAGCCAAGCATCTCATGGGATTTAGTACCCTGGGTTAGAGGTTTAGGGTCATGGTTTCATGGGACATGCCAGTTAACTGGCCTAATAACATGTTTAGTGCTTCTGTTCCACCTCCTAGTTTGTTGCATAGTGCCTGAGGTTTTAAAAGCTTGCAAGCGGCCATCTAAAACACAACAATTGGTCTCTACTCACCTGTAGCAACATAGGAAGAAAGAGGATCAGGAATAGGAGGAGGATATGGAATGTGTAGCTAATTACCTCCATGAACAACTGCTTCCTTTGCCATGAGACCAGAAGAACTCGATGGTGCTCAGCTATCATTACTGAACATTTTGATCAAAGATTCCATAGAAGAATACTGATCAAAAGGGTGAAAATGCAGAACAGAATTTCAAACTTTCATGAACTCTAGATTTTTTGGAGCCATGGAGTGTAGATGAACCACTGAAACAATTACCCTAAGATAATCTTTAAACTTTAAATCAAAAATATCCCCCTGAGGTTATCTTAAAACCCAGTAATAGTTTAGCTGAACTACTAAAACAGGTCTGCCTTAAGCATTATGCTCCTTTAAAAACTGTCTATATGGTATCAAATTGACAATAGCAATTTATTCGAAAGATTAGATAGGAACATTAGAGGGTGCAGCGGTTAAAAGCGTGGCTGCTAACCAAAAGGGTGACAGTCAGAATCCACCAGCCACTCCTTGCTCTGACCTATAGGGTTGCTATGAGTTGGAATTGACTCCACAGCAAGGGGTTTGGTTTTTGTTTTTTGTTTTTGTTTTTTTTGGTTAGGGGGCAGTGAGTTTATGTTAATGAGGGAAGAACACCTCAGAATAGGAGGGTGGGAATGGTTGCACAAGTTGAAGCATGTAATCAATGTCACTAAATTGTACATGTAGAAACTGTTGGATTGGTTTGCCGTGTGTATTCTCAACAACAACAACAAAATAATGAAAATTTAGAAAAAACAATGAACTGAGCAAAGAAAGAACAATAGAAGACAAATTAATTTAACAAATGCATTTAAGATTCATGTGGTCACAGACAATAGCTTTCATCACTCCAAGGCAGCATTGTTCTGTTAAACATCTCTCAGTGTTCCAATTATTGAACGTCTTCTAGTTCAAAATCTACCTAGAAGCTGATCATAAAGCATAATTCCCAGTTATTGGATGCTGGCAAATCTTTGTCAAAAGCTTGCCAAAGATATCTGAGAAATCTTTGAAAGGACAAGGGGAGAAGGCTAAATGCATCCAGCTAAAAGCTTGGGAAGTAAGCTTTGTACACTTCTTAATACTTTCATT